TGGCATTAGCCCGGAACTAATACTATTCATTGCTATCATAAAAATAAATACTTCGGATTCAAATTAAAAGAGAGGACCATAAGTTTACAAGTTATCCGTTTAACACTAACGATTATAGGCAGGATACTGTTGAGTCAAAATGTGCAAAAATTAGAGAATGTCAGTATCACATCCCTCCTCTCTCTGTCTCTGTCTCTGACACACACACACACACACACACACACACACACACACACACACACACACACACACACTCTCTCTCTCTCTCATTCTCTTTCTCTGTCTCTCTCTCTCTCTCTCTATTGTTGTTGCTGTTGTTGTTGCTGCTGTGTTGTTGGCGTTGCTGTTGTTGTTGGTCTGTTGTTGTTGTCGCTGTCATCGTTGTTGTTGCTGTTGTTGCTGTTGTTGTTGGCGTTGCTGTTGTTGTTGGTCATTTTGTGAGAGCTTAGACAATTCACTTGTCCAGGCAATAAAGCAGGCTCTCTCTATCTCTCCTCTTTCTCTCTCTCTCTTCCCCTCTCTCTCTATCTATCTCTCTCTCTCTTTCTCTCGCTGTATCTATCTATCTATCTCTATCTCTCCTCTCTCATCATGCATGCGTCACACTCTCATGGAATTTTCTCATATAAGATTGCATGCTTCACACTCTCATGTAATATTTCTTTCCTTTCTTCGTCTTTTTGTGAGAGCTTGGACAATCCACTTGTCCAGGCAAGAAGGCAGCAATGCCTGCTCATTCTGGCGAAGTAAAATAAAATATACCAACCAACCAACCAACATCAGTCAGTTTTGTGCTAATTGTTTCACATTTTGACTCAACAGTATCCTGCTTATAATCGTTAGTGTTGGACAAAACGGATAACTTGTAAACTTATGGTCCTCTCTTTTTGTAATTTTAATCCTTGGCTCTCCATACGAGTTTAACGGACGTACTCGTACTAGTTGGGACACAACCATCTCCACACATACACTGTACACACTTCTCGTTTCCGCACTCTTCTCATGTCTTTGTGGTCCACTTCACAACAATAACACACACAGAAGTCTCTGCTGTGAGCACGGTGGCTCGGCAATGGCTTTATTATTGATATTATTATATCTCCTTCCTGATATTTTTTCCTTTTTTTTTCTTTTTTCTTTTTTGAATAATTGTACGCATAGGGCCTGATATCATAAGAAAAATTAGCACAAGACACTGCTGCTACTATAGTCGCACAGCAAAACACACAGAAAACGACAAAATGTTACAATGAATGTAACAACACCCGTCCAAGCTAAAGGACCGACATCCCTGCCCCAGGACGGCATCTCGAACCCCCCACACACTCACCACACGGTCATCATCCAGCTTCAGTTCAATCACTGTATTCTTCCCCTGCAGACTCAACCCCCCTGTCACTAGCCATACAATCTGAAGCTGTATGTAACCATACAATGGCCCACGACGCACACACCACCCCTACGTTTTTTAACTAAAAAAGAAAAGCAGTCGTAACTGCAACAGCCACATGGCCAATAAGAAAAACCAATACGATAATATATCGATAAACACACACCCAGAAGTCAGGGGTGGGAGGGTGGGATACAAACTGCACCAACGAAAAGCCACTGCGAAGTGACAGGAATGCGGTCCAGCACAACATTTTTTGCGGACGCAAAAAGTTGTGGGGAAATCCCAAAATCGGTGCGATTTTGCATGAGCCCAAATGTTCAGGTTACCCACAAAGACACAAGCTTTCCAACTCTCTTTGGCCGTTGGAAAGCGTACCCACTTTCCTACGGCACCTCATCGTACAATGATTGATTGATTGATTTTTATTTCACGGATCCTCCAGAGGCAAATAGATGCCTATCGAAGGGAGTCTCCTAAGTAAGTATGGAAAATGAGAAAGTATGTTCGTAAGGGAGAAGAGGTAGAAGATACATTAGAATATAGAGTACAGATGAAGTAAATTCAGTACTTCGGGTAGTACATTGCATGCTAATCATAATGAGAATTAGAAAAGCAGCATTGCGGACTACTATAACTGACATATACACAAACTATTGAAACTATCATAGATGTGGTTAGCCTAGACACAAAAGTCAGGAATACCTTTCAAAGAAAACATGTACATGCACATGTACATGTATATCTACTTACTCAATCCGTTTTTTTTCTTCGCATCACTTTTTCTGTTTTCACCCTGATGGTGGGCCATCAATGCCAGAATATTTGGTGAACAGTTAAAATGACGTACGCAGCAAAGGGACCGTATTTAGCCATTGGCGGACTATGCTCGGCCAATCGTCAAATTATGCTTTTGATTATGCCACAGTTATGCCAACAAATATGCTGAATTATGCTGAATTATGCTCGGTTCGACTAAGTATTCACGCTGTACATAGAGGATTGAGAAACCACGCATACAAACACGGCCATGCCCTAAGCATAATTTTTGTCTAAACCGAAAGATTATGCCGACCTTAAACGTTGGAATCCGTATTATGCCGGAGCATAATTTTTGGACGAAATCCCAAGATTATGCCAAATATTATGCCGGCATAATCCGCCAAGGGCTATGACAAGGAGTCGCAACTGGGGTATTTAAAAAAACATCTGCAGGCTTTCTGACAAAGCTGTATTATGCCCCTAAGCATAATTTTTGTCTTAACCGAAAGATTATGCCGACCTTACACGTTGGAATCCATATATTATGCCGGAGCATAATTTTTTGACGAAATCCCAAGATTATGCCAAATATTATGCCGGCATAATCCGCCAAGGGCTATGACAAGGAGTCGTAACTGGGGTATTTAAAAAAAACATCTGCAGGCTTTCTGACAAAGCTGTATTATGCCCCTAAGCATAATTTTGTCTAAACCGAAAGATTATGCCGACCTTACACGTTGGAATCCGTATATTATGCCGGAGCATAATTTTTTGACGAAATCCCAAGATTATGCCAAATATTATGCCGGCATAATCCGCCAAGGGCTAGGTGCAGTGGTATGTGCAGTCGATTTCCAATCGAGAAGTTGCGGGTTCAATTCCCGACGATTGTAGTCCCACACATCTTTCCTCTTTTTCTCATTCTCCCAGCTCTTCTTTCATTCTCCTGGGTGGTTACCAACAGCCAGTGTATGCCGGAGTATGTGGTGTGCATGTGGCGTGCGTGTGTAAAAAAATGAAAAAAATGGAAAAATAGGGTTTCGCTGGCCAGAAAGAGACACTTCAATCAGCTGTGTGGTGGATACCAGGCTAAAATTAGTAGCGATCAATTCATCAGCCTTGCAAGCTGTTGAATGGTGTAATCCCAGCACAAGTTGCTATGTGTAACATAGATGTGCGCTAACATCATCCCCGCGATGACCATGTCTGAGTCTGAGTGTGTGTGCGCGTGTGTGTGTGCGTGTGTGTGTGCGTGGGCATGTTTGTTGTTGAGACAGGCAAGATTGCATCTGTGTGTACATGTACATGTATGTCGTGTTGTTTAGTATGATGCTATTAAAAGGACCTTTCACGGCTCATGTTTTAAAAGAAACACACTGCAGCGTAGTCAAAAATTCAAAACGATGCAGTGGGGGTTGGTCACCCTCACCCATGGCACGGTATCATGGATGACCAACACAGCATTGATGCACTTATTAATAACACTTGTGCACGCGTTGGCTGTTCTTCCGTGACCCATACTAGTAGTGGCTTGTGATCTACAACAGCACAGCACGTGTTTTGACGAAATGCCATCAACTTTACACGTAGCATCATGACTGTACTCAGAACGCCACTAAGTCTTACAGTCTACAGTCTTCCACTACCCTAGACTAGAGTCTAGAGACACAGAGCTATACATGTACATGTACGTGTGAGAAAATGGTTGTGGAAGTTCCAGTGAATCCAGGTACACTGTTTTTGTAATTTTTACAGGATACACAAAGATTTAAGTGACAAACCTATACATGTATGTATATTGAAGGCAGCACAACGCCACGGCAGCGGTGGCAGCGGTGGCAGCGGTGGCAGCGGTGGCAGCGGTGGAGGCGGTGGTGAGATCCGACGCCGGTCTCAGAATCATTGCTAGCTGAGTAAAGCAGGTGAAGGAGATAATTCTTATAATGGGGGAACGAAGAACGGGTACGGTCGCCTGTGAAGTGGACGTAATGATGATTTTCGCGGTGATAACGTGCGGCTGGCATTAGTCACTGGCATGTAAAAAACACGAACGTGGAGCACAATCCACTCAGGCCATTTCCCGGAAAGTGTTCCTCCAGCCTGGATGCCACTGGCAGCGCACAAGGAAGTGCGTGACACACCAGTAAATGAACTGTCAAACACTTGACAGCTGCGACAATCGCATCGTGACATTGTAGATCTACAAGACTGTAGCTGATGCATTCCCTGTAATGACACACAATGACAGAGTACACGTACGGGGCCATGAGCACTGGATGCTGGCCGCATAGCTTTACTGCTGAACGAACAGTCCAATAGTAGTAGATCTACAATAACGTCGTTGCCCCTGGTAGTACTGGTATTGTAGTGCTGCGGCATGCGACCATCTGTTCACGTTTCACAACGCGGAAGACGGGAATGCAGCTCAATGAATCTTACTTCCTGTACGGCGTAGGTATTGTCAAAGCCCTCTACGTACTGTAGATATTGTCAAGACCGTGTATAATCTCATAATTATAATTATGGGTAAGCATTCCAGGAGGGTCACGCATCACAAAACGTGCATGGCTTTCTCAGAATTGCTCTGCAATGGTAGTAGAGTAGCGCTCTCCGTCAGCAGACTCAACACTAAGCTCTTTCTCCGGTATTGCGTCAAGGCATGCACAGACGCCACATGAAATCAAACCCTACCTCATGACGTTATGCGAGACTCGGAGCTTGTCATCGCGCGATGCAAGGAGAACTTTCGACACCCGGAAGTGTTGCATGCGATTCAAGACACTGCCAAATAGCATAATCCAGCCTGTCTGGAGTAATGACATTTAGAAACTTCGTCCAATAGCGCTGGTACCATATACTGGTGTTCACTCTGACTTCTTGGCGATGGTGTGCGACTAGAGACAGCCAAAAGCGCGCTTTCTTCTCGCTAGTTGTGCTCCGCGTTTCATTAGAACATTGTTGGAAAGCAACACACAACAAGGTCTGAACAGTGCGGGTTGCGTCTTGAGCCTTCCCTACCTGGCTCTCAGCTTGCTGCAGTGAAAGAGATTTCGGCACTGTGTTCAAGTTTATTGACTGGTGAGCGCCGCACACAAGCTAGCTACAGAGATGGCGGAGGAGGAGTTCTTTGACCTGCATATGGCCTGTCCAGTTCCAACATGTCCCAACCAACAGTAAGTACTACTCCCTACTTCAATTGTGTTCTTGAAGCATGCTGAACATGCACGAGCCATATCATTTGCCGCAGGAGTGGAATGCTGCTGGAGTGATGGATAATGACTGTGTATTGATTGCGATACTATGTACTGTTTCAGAAGAAAGCAGTCTTTGGAGACGACGCCATTCAGCTTGATGTGAAACAGTGTGGGTTTATACCTTCACTGCCCATTCTAGTCGATCTTGGGGCAGGGTAAAGTTTGGATTCCTGAGTTTGTCACACCTGTTCCAGAGGTTATGGACTCTGTGGCGATTCCATGTTACACAATGATTATCACGTATTGGGAGCAGAGTGTGGTATTCCTTTCTGTTTGTTCTGTGGTTTCTTTCTGCACCCCCTCCCTCACGCACATTTTAGATGCCTGATTGTAATGGTAACGGTTTGATCTCTGGTTGGGATGAGTTGCTCACAGTTCATCGGCATGTGATGGTGTAGTCAATGCTCCTGTGCCCGTTTTATTTCAAACTGCAGAGACAAAAAGGGTGTCAAGCTGGACTGGACAAGCACATCATGCGAAGGAAAGATGCAGATTGGACAGAAGGGCAACTTGCGCTGCGTGCACCACGCAACGCGTCCCTGTGTCCACGGCCCAATGGCTTCCTTCAGATTCGACTGTGGCCTGCGTGGAGAAAATTCGCCTCATAGCATCGACGAGCCCTTCCTTCCAGCGGATCGCCAGTCATTAACTCACGCCGTTAGTGTCGGGCTTTCAATGGAATATTTAGGTTATAATGATTTGGCGTGGGTGCAGGAACTACTTAGGTCTCTATTCGCACAGGTTCAAAACCAATAACATGGCTGTGTCCAAATTGCACCGACACGTTTCGTACAAAGTAGGGTTACTCGTCTGTTCACACGCATCTATCTATGTATGTAGTATCAATCTATGAGTGTGACCTACACGTCCATTGTAGTGTGTACCTGCTGTGAGCTTTGGTCCCAGGACTTGTATTTTTGTTGTTTTTTTGGTGTGTTGCATTATGCTTCACCTCATCAGCACAGCCTTTCGATGCCTTCTTTTAAAATTCCTCCTTTTGCCTGAATCTTGCGATCCAGCTTGCATTACATATTTCACATACTGCATTTAGTACTCTTCCACTTATAATTATATCGTTGTTAATTGCTAGATTTCAGTATTGAGACGTATTTTCCCTGATTTATGTCTCCAGAAAACTTTTTATCCATCTTTTATTTTTGTTCATGACTACGTCCAATGTCCGCTTCGCTGATTCTGCTTATTGCCTTATTATCAGTTACTTGCACATGTACATGAATTACATTCAGGACGGGTATCCTTGTGAAGTTCAATAACCCAATGATTATGATTGTATGGAATAGGCTACAGGATGGCATTGTGAAACAGCTTGCCGAGCCTAGATTCGCCCTGCATCCAGTAATCAAAGCGCCGAGTGCAGAACGCGACTACATTGTACACAGAGCTTGTACACAGCGCCATTTGGTAGAGGAAAGAGTCAAAAATTCCTAATCCCCTTTTGACATAAAGAATCAATGGAAAAAACAATTCAGCGTTCACTTCACCACCACCACATTTGCGCTCTGCTGCCGACCACGTCCATTCCGCAAAAAAAGCAACAAGAAGTTCGGAGTACTGAAAATATTTTTTAATTCCTTCTGGCAACTGTTTCGGTCAATTAGACCTCATCAGAAAAGGTTGAATGACTCGAAAAGAAATAATCACCTATTTTATACTGACTCTTGAAACAAGAGATGGGGCACCAAAAAGCGGGCGCTTGATACTCAAAGTGTGAAAATAAGGTGCTCAAATCAAGGTCACGTTATTTTTAAAATCAGAGGAACGTCAAGATAGAGGTGATAGTTATACCGGATACTGCAGCGCAGCATAGATACAGTAGTTATGCGAGTGGCCCAACCGGCATCCACCTCCATGTACTCCCTCACCATATTGCACCGTCGGCTCACTCATTGGGCGTCCCGTTAAGTTGTCGGTATAGACTCATTATGGCGATGGAGTGCATGGAGTAGATGCCAGATGGGTCACTCGCATGACGACTGTATCTGTGCTACCCGCCAGAACTAAACGGGACGCGCAATGAGTGAGCCAACGGTGCAGTATCATGGTGAGGGAGGAGTGAATGCCAGTTGGGCCACTCGCATGATGACTGTATTTACGCTGCGCTGCAGTATCCGGCATAACTATCTTCTCTCTCACACCTCACATTTGCAGGGCACGGCAGGGCATGCGCAGTGCTGGATGCCTGACCACAGACGCGGGCGGACGGCAGCATTGAGGGGATCCAGCCATAGCAAACTTGGCTGGCGTCGCGAAATCCAGCCTTGCTGAGGGAAAAGCCGTGGACTTTCAGTGGCCGGCACGTGAGCCAATTGGAGGCCCCCTTCAGCGAAGCAAGCTCCACACAACGCTGCAATTCCTGTGAAGCGGCTGAGACAATATCCTTGGCGATGATTGACTCCTTATTCCGCTGTCGGCTGCGTGCTTCCGACTTCCTGTGCAGCGTAACCTGCTTGACGTCGGGCAGGTAGGAAATGCCAGAGAGCATTCCCTCAACCAGCGGTTGGGTGGTATGGCAGGATGAATGGAACTGTTCTGCTAAAGAATAGACGATGATTATTCCCATGCCACCCAAGCGACATGGTAGGGCCAGGATCTTCCTTTCGGCAGAGCCTGGAGAGGGGCGATCAAGGAGGACTGGGAGTAGCAGGTGTGAAACTGCCTGCTCCAATGGCTCCAGCAGGGTAGCTGTGTTGGGTACAGTCCTGGCATCAAATGCCCAGCGATGCCGTAGACCGTGCGTAAAGGTGGAATACACTGCTTGCGGTTGAAAATGGGCAAATGTAGACAACTTGTCAGCCTCCTTGCAATATGCGTTCACCTTGCCCGTGACATAAGCCCCTACAAATTCCGGGGTGCCGAGTGCTGCACCTAGATGTCCATACCCATCTGAGCGGACTTGGACACGTGTGTCAGCAAACAGTGGCACGCTCCAGATGTGCAGGCTTCACTAGAAGTAGGCTGGTGATGGCTGTGAGCGAGAGTTTGCCGATCGGCGTCGTCCTCGCTATAGCGATGAAAATACTAGTTACTGCGCACCTGGCAGATATCACAGCACGTCGGAGCGTCCAGGAGTAAAGGAATCTTGGGTTTTCACTGGAATCTAGTTCCTCCAGCATCGTGTAGGCCACCGTCGGTGAATGGCCGTCCAGAAAGGTCGAACCTGGTCTTCTGCAGCATCTCGCAGTCCTGCGAGGCACACTGAATACGCCTGTCATGTATTCTACAAATAAAAATCACGAAGTAGTGGACTTTATAGTGATGAGTCTATCCTGTATTCTGCAAAAGGCGCAGGAAATGTGACTGGTGTCCGTACACTGGACGCCAATATCATCCCAGTCTTCTCCTGCAGGATCTGTTTGACATTGACATACCGGTATGCAGTGGGTCGACATTGGCCTGGTTTGGTAGCTATCTGCCTGGGTGGATGTAGCAGGTTTGCATTGGCGCGTCGTCCAGTCCGACATTTTCTTGTAACTGTGGAGTACCGGCAGGGTTTGAGAGGTTGCTCGTGCTATGAACACATCTCTACTGCCTGTCTCGTCCTGGAAGTGCCGTCTCGCCGCTTCCTTGCTCTACAGTCACGCCGGTATTTCGCTTTGTTTCGTGGTGCAGCTCAAAACCTGCCCAAACAACTGTGAGCTCGCAACATGGTATGAACAAATTGCACCACTCATGCTGGTTAACTAAAACCGGGATAGTCGAGTAAGCGAGTTCACTCCCTGGGCCATGGCAAGATCTGTTCAGCGCAGGCTATTCCAACCTCCAAGTGCATAGTCACCGATCGATCCATGCGATGGTGGTTGATCTACAAAGAGCCAAGGTCTACGAGTACTACTATTGGATGCTGTCTACATGCAGTCAACAAAATCAAAGTACCTCAGTATGCCCCAGAATAGGGCATGTGCATCTATAGCATGACACAACAGGGGTTCTGGCGGCACCTGTCAAACAAGCAGTAGCGACTAGTGCCAGTTACCTTTTGGAGGCTAGCCACTACAGTCTGTCACTGGAGATAATTATTATGTTCACTGTTTAGACTGAGCACAATCAATGATGCCCAATCAATCTGCCCAATGTGTGTTCTGTTCCACCTAATTATAACGTCCCATCGCATCAACCCTACTACACGCACATGTCGTCACTCTAGCATGACTTGTGTTATTATTGTTTATTTTGATTCGCACGATAAATAGAGCACAATAAACGTTATTATAAACTTGACCGAAGGATAAAGGCGACTGCAGATAGAGGAACACATCGAGGTACAGGTGCCGGCATCAATACAGTATCAGAGAGAAACAAACAAAAATGAGAGGTACGCAGAAAAAACTCTCCTAAGCCCAAGGGGAAGTGGTTGATGAGGGATGAATGCACTCTCCACGCTCATCTACACTGTTGGGGAAATGCACACATACATACAATAATAAACAACATAGCAATAGCATGCACAGAACCGAACAATTTCATGTTCATGTAGCGTTCGCACGCTGGGGACTTCAAAGCGTATAGTGTTTAGAGTATAACATATCCCCGTACTGTATCCCCGTACATTAGCGTACGGAGTCTGCCTTTGTATCAAAGCTGCTGCGCACTATTCTTTTATAGCCAGTTAATTTAGTTGCCAATAAGTAATAGTTATTTTCATTGCCAGTTTCCAGTACATTTCAATTGCCAATTACAGTGTGTTCACTGAGACCTTTGTGCGTTCTTGCCTCCGAGAGACTGCGGCCCGCTACAAATTGGTGGCAGCGGTAAATTCATTTTGTTTCATTCTATACATAACTTTGTTACTTTACACGTTTGTCAGAACCCCATGGCTCAACCCGCTACAGCTCCGTGCGACGAATCAAGATGAGAATCATGTTTCTTGCCTTCCTGGGCTTGGCCCTGCTTATTAGCTTGCAGCACAGTCAGGGTGCTAGCGTGGATCACCCTTCTCTCCGCACGGCATCCATTGGAGACTCCGATGGCGATTCCAAGCGACCCGCTACCTACATGTATACTACCGGTGGTCATGGTGAAGCTGATGAGGACCACGACAGGCAGGCTGCTGCCCAAGACAAGGAGGGTCTTCCCCAAGACCAGCCGCGTTTGATTTTCGCCGGCACGCAGTTGGCAGACGGCCGAACCCTGAGTGACTACAACGTTCAGCAGGAGTCCACTATTCACTTGGTACTTCGTCTCCGTGATGGGATGCTAATTTTCGTCAACACTCTTCCTGGCTAGACCATCACTCTTTATCAAAAAGTATTCTTTCTAGACCAAAGAGTGGTATATTTGATAATATTTAATAACGATAGAAATTTTTACGATACTTCTCCAGAGGGGGTACATGGATGCAGCTAATGGGGTCGTTCTCGGCACTTGTGCCAGTGGTTGTGAGACTTATCCACTCACCCCCACCGTTAGGCGCTGCATCTGCCGCTGGGATTTACCGGGTGGTAGCGGCCGTCGTGAGTTCCCTTCGGGAACGGACACGATAATTAACTTAACTCTCCAGACCTTTCGTTGTTCTGAACAACATCGTCAGTGGATAAAGAAGGAATCCACTGACGATGTTGTTCAGAACAACGAAACGTCTGGAGAAGTGTCGTAAAAATTTCTATCGTTATTAAATGTTATCAAATATACCACTCTTTGGTCTAGAAAGAATACTTTTTGATATTACAATGAGAGTGAATAATCAACGGCTTGTCCACCAACTCCATCACTCTTTACGTCGCGCAAAGCGATGTTATCGACAATGTGAAGACCACGATTCAAGACGAGGAGGGAGGTTATTTGTCTGACACCGAGCTAGCCACTCTGAGTGACCAGCTCAACCAAGATGAAGATAAAACCTGGCTCGCCCTCCGCCGTAGCTCCAGCCGCCGCCGTGGTTACTAACGCTGATTCCAGGTATGGCATTTTCTTTCCTGTCTTCCTTCAGTCTCCCTCTTCTCTTCAGTCTTCCTTTATGCGACTGTGTGAATCCAGTTTAGTTTGGTAGGCGTCTGATCATGGTGAGCCACGGTTTACCCAGCTAACGTGGGACAATGTGTGTGACAACGCCCCTTATAGTTATAATGTATTCAGTTCGGTTTTTGAACTGCGATGTTCCTGGCGGGTTGTGCCAGCGTTGTGCAGCAAGAGTGCTGTGGTTTTCAAGTCCTATTTGGAGGACAGTTCTTTCCCCTTTTGACCCCGTGAGATCGTGTGAACCTGGTGTGCTTCTACTTTATGATTTGTTTATCAGTTCATTCTTCTGTCTGTTCCAAACGTTATCATTTCCGATATTATTTGCCATA